AAATTATGTGAGATATTTAAGATATCTTGCATGAATTATGATGAAATTATTCATCATATTTAATAAAAATATTTTAAAAAGTTTAAAAAATTTTAATAAACTAAAATATATTTTTAAAATTTTAATTAAAAAAAATAAATTATTTTTATAAAACGGCCGGTTCTTTCCAACCCGGACCGGTTCAATGGTTCACCGGTTAAACCGCAGGTTCAATCCGGTTTGATCTGGTCCGATGCAGAGCCGGTTTTGAAACTGAATTGGACCGGCCACCATACCAGTTCACGGTTGGACCGGCCGGTCCATTCAATATTTAAGCCTTACACTATTTACTATTTACTAACACAACACTTAGAATTTTCAATAAAATAAAAATTAACACCCTCTTCACCTCTATTACAAACTCATCACCGAACTCCCGTTGCAACTTCTTGTTGATCCCATCGCCTTTTTCTAATGAAACCTATTTGATGTAGAACGAAGGGAGGGGGCCATGTGAATTTTTAAATTTCCTAATTTATTGGAGAAGGGAGGGATGGGGGCTGACCAAAGAGAGAGGGGAGACGGAGAATTGTCTACATTCGATGTATGAGTCCATATGCATTAAATAAGGGGAATTAAATTCAAATCCAATCATTTAATTCAGATTTGCACTAATTGAGGGGAATTTCCTAAAATAGATGTAGGATATTTAAGAAAGATTTTAAAATTCAAATTCATTTGTATTTGAATTACGAAATCTTTCCAAATAAGATAGGGCTAAATTAGGAAGATGATAATGAGGTAATTGAATGATTTTTTTAATTAGAATCTTAAATTACGAAAGGGATTAAAGACCTTTTAAAATTTAAAATTCAAAATTAAGAGATGGGAGTTAATTGGGGAGCAATAAGGGGAATGAAATTAATTGAATGGAGGGAGAAAGAGGGAGGGGGCCGGCAGCTTCAAAGAGAGAGGGAGGATTATGGAATGGTTTAATGGGGTTTCCAAAAATAAGGCTAATTAAATTAGGACGAATTGATGACTCTGATTTCCTCTTAATTTAAATTTGAATTTTGAATTGGATGGTTTAAAACTTTCCAAATATAGATCATGCCAAATTAGGAAAGGTTTCAAGTCTAAATTGAAATCAGAATTTGAATTATTTTCCCTCCCAATCTTCATAACCTAACTTTAGGAAGTAGCAAAGGCAAGAATAAAGTATTAAGCATCTATGAGTAAAAGCACATTCATTTTCACATTTCATTAAATCTACTAGCTTAAAAGTTTTAAGTCATCTTTCAAACCACCTTGGATTCAAGGGGCCGACGGCTAGGGTTTTGGGAAACCCAAAGGTGGCGGTTTGTGGTGGAGATGGGGAGGAAACCGGTGGTTGGAAGGAGGGGAGGGCGATGGTCGAAATTTGAAAGGAAGGGGGGTGGGTGGCCGGTGGTGGGGAAGAGGATGGGGGTAGAAAGCCGGTGGCTAGGGGAAGATTTAGCCGGCAGTTAAAGGAGAAGGAAGTGGGGGATTAGAGAAAGAAAATAATCTGTTAGTTTTGAACTCTTCTAAAGACTGATTGGTATTGTGTTGCCCTTCACTAAGGGATTTCAACCACGAGCCCGGACAGATCCTGCGGCTGGTGGGTATTTATTGCCCTCACATTGGGACTTCCACTCTTCTAAGAACTATCATTGGTCTAAAGAACAAAAGTGTAGAAATAATTTTTTTTTATTAATCCATCATTGATCTAATACAAGAGCAAGTGCCTCTATATATAGGCCTTAAAAGAAACTAAAACATAATTTTTCCTTTTGGGCTTACATAAGACAAGACCGTTAAGGGTAAAAATGGAAAATGCATAATTAAATAAAAAAACACAATTAATAAACCAATATAAAATGGAGGGATCTCGGCCGTCGATCTTCTTCTCATCCTTTGATTAACGCCAACCATCGGATGTCAGCATCATTCTCCTGGGGTGGAAAAGAACTCAACTTCGTCGAGTCCGTACCCCGGGTAACCATGCTCTCATATCAAGATGATGTGAAACTACTATGAGTTACTTGAGAAATTAAAAGGAATAATTGATTAAAACTTGCTAATGAAAATTATTACTTGCAAATAGAGAAGAGTTAGGAATTCAAAGTATTCAACTTGCTTAGGCAAAGAAACGCTTTTGATATTAACCGAACAATCCAATCAAAATTCAAGACAATAGTAAATACTACATGCACATAACATAATCCCACCACTTAATAACGAGAGGTTCATCTTGAGTATCTTCTCACTCAATCACTCTTAGGCTTTAGCAGAGAAAGATGAACCATACGAGGACGGATATTATCACTAGGAAGACGGTGCCGAAGACCTTTGTTGTTAGAGAAGTAGGAGCGGTAGAGGAGGCGGTGGGTGATCGATTATTATCCAACGACCCAGTTGAAGGTGTTCTTCAATCGATAATGTTAGTTGGTATAAGATACGGTTAATATATCCATCAACAGTCTCTTCGTTGCTGAAGTACACGTCAAAGAACGGGGATCCAAGAATATATGTTCGTCCTTGTTCGTCGAAGACCAATCCGTGATCGACCTCAGGGTCGGCCATACACCAATGGTAGAAGGGCGGAAAGAACTTGTCTTCTTCTCTTTAGCTTCAAACAACGTGAGAGTTTTAGGTTTTCCAAGGGAGAGGATGTAAGTGGAGAGGGGCGGCCAAGGGGAAGAGAGATTGGTCGTGGGTGAGAGGGAGGGGTGGGCCGGTTTTGGAGAGGGGGGTGAGTGAGTTTAGTTGGATATTAGGTTGAGTCAGAAAATCTGAAATTAATTTTAGATTTTTCCTAACTTAAGTGGAGTAATGATATTTCAGATTTTGAATTTGAAATTATGGGTTAAGAGCGAAAGTGGGAATTAATTGGGCTTTAATGAGATCCTTGATTTAAGCACCAATTATGAGAGTTAATGAGGGGTTTATGTTAGAGAGAGTTGGCATGGGCAAAATAGGGAATTGGGAGGAGGTGGGCCGGCGCCATCAATTGAGAGGGAGTGGTTTTGGGGAAGTAACTAAAGCTTCCTCAATGAATTAGCTAATTAAGGAATAAGAATATTAAATCTCATCTAATTTAAATTTAAATTAGAATTAGATTAAAAAAAAAATTATAATTAGAAAAACAAATAAGGTAAGTATTGAATGAGATTTTGAATTTTGAAATTCAAAATTCATGGAGGCTTGGTAGAGGCTGACGGCTAGAAGGTCCAAAGTGACTGGCGGCTATGAGGTTTGGTGGCCGGCGGGTGGCTAGGGCTTGAGGAGGCCGGTGGTGGGATGTGGGGTTTTCGAGTTTGGGGAAGGAGCAAGAGGTGGCCGGCGGTATGGGGGAGGAGGGAAAAAAGAATAAGAAAGAAGCAAATAAAGGTAAAACCGAGAGCCCAAACCTTCCGGCGGCTGTTGGGTATTGTGTTGGCCCTCTCCTAGGGTGATCTCTCCTCTTCGAAGCACACAAGCAACAAGAGCAAGAAAAAAAAAAACTGAGATTTGTCTATTCATTCATCATCATCTTACAACACATAAGACCACAATATATATATGTCTCAAACATGAAAAAAAGAAAATTATGCAATTGCCCTCCAGGCTACAACAACTAGACACCTACCCATAGGGGTAAATCCGGAAAATAACAAAACTACATAAATCATAACATAAAGAAATGCATCAAAAGTAAAGGTGCTGAATCGTAGCCGTCGATCTATGATTCCGTCGTCAGTTCATGTGTATGGATCTTTGAACGATGTCCTCATCACTATTACACTTTACATATGCACTCGCTGCCTATCCTGTGAATTCCCTTCCTTCACAAGATCACATCATAACCTTCCCGACGAGATCCTATTGAGATTTCCTAGTCTCTTTCTCCTCGTCATAAGAGAACTTGTTGCGACTTTCCCTTCGTTGTCGAGGGTT